GAAGATGCTAATAAAACAAGGTCGTCTGCAAACAGCAACCTTCTCGACTTCACATCTCCTATACCGATTCATGGTATCTCTTCTTTCTGCTAAATCAATCCAAGGTTGTATTCTATCAATTTCTGCAATTACGTATTTTTTCAGTTGTTCAAGACTTCGGTCACTTCCTCGAAGGCCGACGGCCGAGCATTGGCATGCACTTTTTCTCCAGGCATAACATCATGCAAAGAATCTTGATTTACAGCCATTTCAGAATTTGGTAATGATTCACAGTCCTCATAACTTTCATAGGATTGAAAGTGATGTTATCGGCCCCTTTCATAACGAATGTTAATTGAGGCTTCTTTTTGTCAACAGAATTTCCTAAACAAGGTCTTCGCATCGTTTTTGCATTAAGTCTGCTTCTTCCAGAAAACGGTTTTATCTTCTCTTAACGATTTTTAATTTCTTTCAAGTCTGTCTTTGAAGATTTGTCTGCAGTCAATTTTGGTAACGTTGCTCGTTCTTTTCTGCAGTTATCATTATTGATTCTTTGCATATACTGCAAGCTTCCTCCAACGATATACGCTTTGTGCAATCAATAAATGTCGCGAATCGTCATCTGATATACTTGAGATACTCCTAGAAAAAAAGCATGTCGACTTTTAGCTTTGCGGTAGAATTTGAGAACTAAACAAAAGCCGAAGTTTGACTGAAACTTTATCCATCATCAGCTGATAGTTGTCTTTGAGGCATTCAGCAGTTCCGCACATCCCAACATCTTACAGCCACACTCAATGGTTTCTGATGATGACAATATGATCAACCTAGTTTACGTTAATGCATAAGGAAATAACGATGTAATTGTATGCATTGATTTGTGAGGCCATTCCCACAGAAAAATGAGTTCAGACATCTTGTACAGCTCAGCTACTCGTCATTGTTATCATTCATCTCACTAATACCACGTGATCCCAGGCATCTACAAAGCCCCTTCTTTTTCTCCGCTTTTGCACTGAAATCGCCAAAAATAATTACAATTTCATGGATTCGAGACTTTTTGCATGAAACATGGCAATGAAACAAACTGCAGTGACACGAAGTCGTTTACGAATGGACTTGAATATCACAATAATGATTCTCACGTATTCCACACTTCAATTTAAAAGATATCCTTCTAAATATCGACAATCAGTGCAACACCGTCACTGTAAGTTTCCACAATGCGGTATTTCTGCAAAAGAAATAGCAGTTTTCACTCGACAGAACCCTACTTACAACTTTGTGCATTTCTTGTCTTGAAATTACCGTCATTCGCCTTCGACTCAGCATAGGTCGTACAGGTATTTTGAACTTTTCAAGTTCCATGCAGCAAATTACGTTCGACAATTAGCAGTGACAAATTCTTTTCTCTGCCCTGCAATTTTCGAGCCCTACTCTGATTTGAAACAGATTCATCAAAGCCTTCTTAGCTTCCGGTTTCAGGGTTCAAGTCAGGTGTTCGCAGTAAAATTAGCGGCTGGAGAGAATGCACTCCACCGTACTTAGTAGCCCTGCAAGCGTCCTCCTGCGCTGCATGTTGCCTATATCGTTTATTATATAAATAATTCGCTAATGAGGTCACGAAGTACACATCACTGATGAACCAGAAACAAGATTTTCGTCGATTTTGCGTTTGAAGTTGGCAAAATACTGATTAGCCAAATTAAACTTGACGAAGTGTCTCTTTCCTTAACACATATACCAGTATATTTAAAACCAGAATTGCGCAGAGGAAAAAACTACCAGGAACAGGAATGATTTCAGCTTACGTAGTTGAAATCTACAGTAAGTTATCACCACCATAATTTAGAGACATGTTAATCTTTTGACCTCTAAAGATCTTCCAGATGTTCATTCATTTAATGTCTAGCAGTTTGGCTTTGGCTTTCTTCACACTAATTACTTTACTATAATCAGCTCCTTTTGCAAATCAACAGTTATTCTGGTTTATTCGGCCCAATCTGCTAGCTATTGATATAGTATCACTGTTATTATGCCGCCGTAACAGAGTTAGAAGAATCTGCAATTCTGATTAGCATACATCAGATGGTCGAGTCATACCATAGGTTATCAATTTTCAAAACCTGACATGATTAGGAAAAAGTAATATTTCCGGGCTGACCGACATGACCAACCTTACAATAGTAATGCAGAACTACGGTAGGATAAAAATTTCGGTTCTAGCTTACACTACCTATTTCAAATTTTTGGAAATGAAGAAAAGGGGATAAAGGATTATAATGAGAAAGAAAAAAAAGGAGATAGAGAGAAAAAAGAAAGAACGGAGAAAAAGAGGGAGGAGAAGAAAGATAAGAAGATATGAAAAACAAGAAGAACGAAATGAAGAATGAAACGAACGAAAGAAAGAAGAAAAAATAGAAAGGATGAGTGGAAAAAAAAGAGAAGAGAGAAATAGATGACTAAAATGAAGTTCTTGTGGAAAAAGAATAAGAAGAGTTAGAGGAAAAGAAAACGATAAAAAAGAGAAGGATGAGGCGAAACGGAAAGAATAGGAAAAAGGCACGGGTGACAGAACTAATTTTCTATGCAACCTACGTACTTCGTGGCAGTAGTGGCTTTGATGGCCTGATGTATCAAAACGTTCAAGAAGTTCCACAGGGTGCTCAAAATCGAGTTTCAAAGTTCTAAGTAATTTAACATCAGTTAGACGAATGTCATAAATTTCATATAGCTTAATGTATAACAGAAATATATAGCAGAGAAACGGAGTATTTAAACTGTTACATAAACTTTTTAGCAGCAAAGGGACGGCGAGATAATGGCTTGAGTAGAATAAAGCGAAATGAAAAAACGCAGTAAGATAAGGGGCTAAAGCTTCAGTTGTTAAGTCAAGTACCGATATGCCGTTACCTTCTTTTACTGTGAAAGAGCTCATCATTAAACAGCGATGGACAAATATTTTCCAGATACCATCGGAAGGATTTACAGCCAAGTTTCTTCTTCAACAATAGACGAGATGTGACGCTAAAAGATCAACAACCATCACTACAACGTTTCAGGTTAAGGGACCGATTACTTGCCAAAGTCTACGTGTTTTGCCCTTGGCATAGCATCAAAATAGAACTGTTTAAACTCGTCCAACCAAACCTCTGCCACTCTTCGTGTGTTTCTACAGAAAACAATAAACATTATGAGGTTCTAATTTAAAAAAACATAAAAGCGAAAGCACTTTGTCGTGGTGAAGCGTTACCTCAGAAAAAACGTTTGCGTGCCACCGGGAAGTTCATACGGAAACTCTATACGGTAGACGTGACCAACATGGCTGCATGGAATGATTTCCAGTCGTCCGCCACACATCCAAACCCGGAAGGAAAATTCTATACAAAACTTTTTTTCGTATAATGCAAAGAGCCATGTTGCGTGAAAAACTGAAAACTCCTCTTGGTTATATAAAAAACTGTTGATCAAGTTTAATTACATGTAGACTGAATTCCATTTTACAGTATGCAAAGTTATCATGTTGTGACATCAAATCAATCACATTATGCTGCCACAGTCATAATTGATGCCAGACTATAATGAAATGTTATCTGCCAAGCATAGTAAATGCCTAAGTTTGTGAAATAAATACTCAGAATCGAACTCAACGCCTACGACATGGCGAACAGCAACGATCAACATAACTGGCCGCGTGCCACGATGTATACGATGGAACTGAATCCTCTTCGTTGCAGTGTCAACGGCTACAAATTTCCAGGAATCTCTACACTGTAGGCTAATATGGCAACGATACTCAGAGATCTACAAAATTTCTCATGCTTTTATGGAAATAAATCAAAATGTCATGATTACTCTGAAACAAATCGTAACGAAACCACTGATGCATGCCACCTACCTTTCTGATACAGCTGACAGTGTGAATAGACACCGAACGCCTCAACTATTTCTAACTGATAAAATATAATTATACGATAGGTGATATAATTTAATGTAGGTCACAAACGGGAAACAACGCAAAAAATGGTCTTTAATAGTCATTAAAGACTATTTTATGCATTGTCTTCCCGTTTGTGACTAAACTAAAAATTATATCACCTCCTGTATAAAAAAATCATGTAATGGGTCATCATCATTTCAATAAGTTAATTAAAATATTATATTTCCATGTTTTAAAACATGCACATGCAGTATTTAAAGAATAACAAGCTATTACTAAAATATCCATTAAAATTTTATTTGAAACTGCACAGCCTCTCTGCTGCTAAATGCCTGAAGCGTCATTTTAATGGCCATGACTCTAGAATATTTCGGCACCACTGCTAAACTTGTCGCATCGTTTTGCGACATTGCGTAACATTACGTTAATTGCTAGATGATTCAGGATGCAATACTTCTTATATGTATATTGCAACAATTCGCTGAGGGGATGTACTCTGAACAGCCACCTGCTGTTCAGCATCCCGAAGTTTGGTTTTCTTATGTAGGTAGTAGCGAAACGAACGAGAACGATATACTTTATGGTGACGTAACTTCACACAAAGCCAGGGAAAGATACATATTATATACTAACACCTGCACCTTAATGTACCTTGATAGAGACTTCAACATCGACCTGGACTACATTCTCATTAGTCGCAAATTGTGCAATTCAGTACTCCTCACTCGTAGCAATGGTGACACCTGCATTGTATTCAATTATCGTATGTTCATACGGTACACAAGATCA